ATATATATATATATATATATATATATATATATATATAGTTGGAAGGAAAAGAATAGAGTAACATGTTTTGATGAGGAGACATTAATTCAAAGTGAAAGATTATGGGACAATTGAATTTATGATGATTAGGTGAAGCAAAGGACCGCAAAAGCCAAAATAATAATAAAAATACACCAACTACATGTCCACACGAGTCTTCAGTACCGTTGCCAAAACCTTCAATATAATTTTGTTTACTGTATCACATATATATCTACATATACGGTCACCTCTGAAGTAATGTTAGATTACGAAAAAAAAAAATTCTCATGTTTGGGTAATTATTTTACCACCTCTCAATTATGAATCTTCTTCCGCATTAAATCTTATGGTGTCAAATTCAACATAACCTTCTAGATTATGTGGAATATTCTCTAATTTGCACTCGTGTTACGTTGGTGTGAAAAAATGTAGCTTCTCTTGCACCACAATCTGATATAAACAAGCAGAGATGCACATCGAATTCCACATAATCTAAAAGATTCCTTTAAATTTGATACACCGCAAGGGTGGACGTGTAAGAAGATTCATAGTTGAGGGGTGTGGTTAGTTGTAATTATCCAAATATGAGAGATTTTTTCGTAATTTAACTTTACCTCAGGGAGTTGGCTGTAATTTACTATATATGTGTATGTATGTAATATTTATGTGGCAAAAATGGCAGGTGGCTTTCAGACAAGTAAATAGCAGGAGTAACAAGGAATATGAAAGAAACATAAGGAAGAAGACCAAAATCCAAGGGATTCTCATTTACCACCTTTAATTTCTTACACAGTACAAAGATTAAAAAAAAAACAGAGAGAGAGAGAAGCACAGAATACACATCTGTATGTAGTGATAGCTCTCAAACAACAGAATTGCCACTGTCCCCACTATCATTTAAAAGGATACCCACTCCCCCCTCCAGTTCGTACAGTTCTTCCAGCTTTCTTCTGCATTAATAAAAAAAAAAATATATTAATTGGTAAAATTAAAAAGATGCAATCTTTTTTTATGATGATGTTTTTGAATTAATTAATTAATGACCATTTGTGTGTGATGAAGAAGTCGTGCAATGAGTTGGGATTAATGGAAATGGAGAGCTGTGTCCTGTGAATCGGCATCGGCATAATCGTCGTTTTATCATCGGAATATTGTCCGTTGTCGTCTTTCGGGGGGCATTCGTCGATAAAATGGTGCATTACTTTCTTGTGGGGGTGCAGTTCGTCTCTCTTATCCAAACTTGCATTCTGAATCATTCTCTGCCCGCCGAACAAATCACAATTAGATGAATATCCGTACTGCAGTACTTTCGTTTGTGACGAAGAAGAAGAAGAAGAACCGCCGCCGCCGTCCGGGAAAAACACATGCTCGTCGGCGCCACCGCCGCCATTCGCTGCCGCCCGCCCGTCGCTGGTGTTTCTGCAAAGTGTGGGGTTAGATTCGGACAGGAAATGGGAGTAGAGGAAATGGGGTGGCGGGTGGTGAGAAGGAAGAAGCGTGTTTCCGAGGGGAGTCGTCGTCGTCGTCGTCGTCGCCGCGTTTCGGTTGCACGGCGAGTTAGCGGCGGTGGACGAGTGGGGGAGAAGAACAGTTTCCACAGGCTTTCTTGAACGGTTTCTGCCTCTGTGCATGTGGCGTTCGCAGTACTTGGAATCCGGGTACGCCTCCTTAGAGCACCGCCATTTCTTCCCGTCGGTTCTCCGGCACCGCCCCGGCTCGGGGTCTATCTTTTTACCAAACCCCATATTAAAACTGTTCCACGACCCGCCTTCGGAAAAAAAAATTTAAAAACATAAAAAAAAAAGAAAAAAAAGACAAATATTATAGTACTAATACTAGTAGTAGTACGTACTGTGATGGTGGTGGAGGAGGAAGGTGGTGGAAGAAGAGTGGTGGTGGTGGAGGCTCCGGCGGATGGTGAAGAGGAGATCGGGCGGAATGGGGATTCCGTAAACCATGTACTTGTACACAAGAGCTTGGTGTTCGAGTTCTTGCCATTGGGATGGAGTGAAAGGATTAAACCTACTTGATCTCCCAATATTATTATTACTCATCATCTTCTTGTTGAATATATGTAATAATAACAATAATAATAATAATAATAATAATAGGGGATTTGTTTTTTGTTTGATGTTATAGAGCAACACACTTGGGGGTTTAAATGCAGATAGCGCAGAGAGCTAGAGAGAGAGATCTAGAGAGAGAAAGCTAGGGTAGAGAGAGAGAGAGAGAGAGAGTAAGTAGGGATATTTATTTGAGGGACCATCAGGGTTGCAGAATCTTCTGTACATGGATAAAAACTAATGGTTCTGATCACACACTGCTCATCATCTGCTCACATAATATATATATACATACATCCAACACCTATACATACACATACATATATATATATATATATATATATATATATATGTATATCTCGGTCTGTATGACTGTATGTATTATATGTGGGGAGTGCTGACACAGCTGCAGTGCTGCAACTATGCTGCCTTTATGGCAGCTCCTGTCTCTGACACATAGCACGGAAATCCATAATTTAAAGGCAGGCCTTACTAGCTAAAATACAAGTATCTTTTTTTTTTTTAATTTAATTTATTTTATTATTTGTTCTTCAGTACTACGTACACAGTGTTACTGTTTCATTTTCTTTTTTATACAAGAGTTTTGGTGTCTGAATTTGACAGTGCCCAGATGCATGAGAAGATTGTACGGTTTTCACTACTTTTTTTTTTTTTTTTTACCGCCAAAACTCATCCTGCGTGCTGCTGCTTTTTACTTTTCTTTTCTGTTTCTCTCTCTCTAACTTTTCACTTCTCAGGTTAAGTAAGTGGTGCACTAACAACGTTATTTTAACTAATTACTAAAACAAGAAAACGTTAGTTGAAAGAGAATCTTGGATTTGATAAGTAGACAAGATCATTCAAGGCAAAACAGGAATATAGTTATACAAATAATCACATTACTCATGACCGTGAATTTAATGTAAAAGCCGCCCAAGTGGGTAATTTTTTTTAATAAATGGTTAAATTACGGGGCACAAGAGCTAATGTTAAATTACGAAAAAATCTCTCGTGTTTGTATAATTACAACAACTGCCATCGATTATGAATTTTCTTATATGTCCATCCTTCCGTTGTTGAATTTAGTGGAATATTCTCCAGTTTGTACCAGTTTGCCATATTCGAGCTCCATATTTTGGAATAAGATGATTATAAGATGTGTTTCTTGACTTGTAAACATCAGATTGTGGTGTATCAAAAATCGTATGTTTGCGCAGGACGAGTTTAAACTAGAGAATGTTTCACGGAATCTAGAAGATTCTGTTGAATTTGACATCATAAGAATGGACGTGCAAGAAAATTCATAGTCGATGGATGATTGTAATTATAAAATATGAGTGGGGTTTCGTAATTTATGTTTACCTTGTACCCTTAATAAGATGAAAACCAAGTTTTCCAATATAATAATCCACAAGAAAATAAAAAAATTACTAGAAATCTCTGCCACCTGGCCGCCGCCGAGAGACGGTAGTGGAAGGCGGTTCCGGTAGGTTTGCGGCGGTCATGGAAGAAAATCAAGATACTAATACGTAAAATTTGGCAGAGCATTAAATAGTTGGGTATGCAACAGGGATGGAGGGGACATTTATGAAACATAGCTACTTTGACTGACATAATAACCTAATTAATTGCTTCATTTATTTTTTCTTCTTTTATCAGACATTTTATTTTCAAATTAAAAACCTAAAAATCGTGTTTTCATGGAGCCCGATTATTAAATGTTCATGGTATTCAATTCAAATGCTTTTGACAAAGTACAGTTAAATATCTATAAATTAATATAGTTGGGTAAATTATAGAGTTAATAAATTAATGCGTTTTCACCGAGTCGGAACCGAGAGAAACTATTATTTAATCGAGGTTATTAATTTATCGAGAGGTTCTACTGTATCACTAGTCATCAATAAATGAATTATGTGTTATATAATTCAACAAATATTAAATTAAATGATTTATTTCGACAACTAAACATTGATCTGAAATAAAAAAAATATTATATTACATGTATATTAATATATAATATAACATAATAAATCCTTCAAAATTATGTATTCATTGAGTTTTTTCCCAAGTCCACTTGTCATTGCAATACATTACAAGCTCCCCCAAATTCTATATTTAATTAAACAAGACATCTTTTTCTATACGTAAAAATAAAATATAATCATAAACTATAAATAGATGTGGAAGTTTAGAAGTTACAGAGATTTTGCCTTACCAAAACTCTGTTTGGCTTTCGGGTTTTCGGGTTTACACTATTCCTTCTGGAAGAAAGAGAGAACAAAATCCGTATGTACAGAGAAGAGCTGTGTGTCCACGAAAAGCTGTTTATTCAATTATAAATATATATTAGCAGGCCACATAGTATAATTTTTCAACGTGCGAATTAAAATCGAGATGGAAAATCGACAGCTAATGAAAGCGGGGAAACAAAAATTGCACCTTCATGAAAGGTCGATCCCGACTAGGGAAAGACTCGATGAAACTCTCTTTCAACAGCAGTGATACCTGAAAGAAGATCAATGTATGTATCGTAAGTGATTAATGTAATCAATGATTATATTTTAACGATAAACGAGCGATTTTCATCAAATTATTAAAAAATATAAACGGACCTTGTCATCATTCGATTGGACATTGGTTATTGTATGAGAACGGAGGTTAGAACAAAGGTTATCCAAATAAGACCTTAATACCCCCAAGAAACCTTTGGCGGCTTCAACCTGCAACGGTTACATGTCAATTATAAACGAATACTTTAAAAAAAAAATTGCCCGTTTGATTATAATTAACATATAACGACTACCTGGACATCAGTACATTCATAAACGGGCCGTTTTTTCCCTAAATAACTTTCGCCGACCAGCTTTGCATGGTAAGGGCTAAGGGAAGAATATAGTTCTTTATGTTGAGGTAGCTGTGGTATTGTTGGTGTTTTCACCTGTTCACACCGATAAATATACACAACAAACGGTTGTTTTATAATGTTTTATAATCTTTTAGTCTTGACGTAAAATTAAATAAATTAAATAAAGATATTATAGCATTTGTTTCTACATGCAGAAACGAAAAAGTCCCATGCGGACAATCTCGAATTAGCGTTATATTTTTATTTTTTTACCTGGTTTCGATTTGCGTCTACTAAAATGGCATTTGTTAACTTCGCCTGTACGTCAGTAGTCTTGTTCCTTACACCTACCTTCTCGGAGACAAACATAAATAAGTGAAATAATGTAAAAGAAAATTAGATAGTTAAATGAATTAATTAATGATATAAATGAATTTCTTTTTTTTAAAGGAAAAACTCACTATGTATGGGACAGGGGCATCGAGAAAGTCGAGCATGTCATTTGGCAAGACCTGCAAATGGAAATACATGAAATATCTTCGATAAAATAAAAAAAGTTAAATAATTTCTTGTAAAATATCGCACCAAAAAATTATATATAACAGGAACTTACCGGCATTAACAAGCTCTGCCATTGATAAGGCCGAATCAGGGGTATAATCGACAAAACCAAAGCAGACAAAATACCCTGCACAAGAAACCAATAGTAGAACTAGTATCAAAACTCGGTTCTTTGTCCAGTATCCCCACTAATTGTGCAGTCGACACGTACCAGATTTGAACAAACGACTAAAATTTGTTTCTCCAGTAGGGCACCTGCAAATAATGTCAACACCTGCAAAAATAAAATAAAAAAACAATTGCGGTAAATACTTTGTTTCGTGGAAGCGGATAAGGACTCGGCAATAAATAATAACAAAAATGGCAACCGATAGACGAAAATAGAAATACTATTAATTAATTAATAGATGGTCGACTTACATGCTCCAGTCGGAGGGACCCACATAGGCAAGCAACAGCCCATACGGATAAAGCAGCCGCCTCTTCCTCCACCATTAGTGCACTGTGGACCTATAATGAGTCACGAATGTTAGTCATAAATACTGGAGAACCGCATTTAATATATCGTTCTATATTAATAAATAAAAAGATCCCCATTCTTTAATTCAGCAAAAGGATGAAATAACCTCGGCTAATTCCAAACTTGTGTTGCAAGATCTCAAATCAATGGTCGAACCACCGACGCGTAAAACCGTTTCGTCGGGTCTATGATACTCTAGAGGGTGCAGGTGGTCCAAAGGATGGAACTTAATTGTCGAACCACGTTTTGGGCAACATAATTGGTAATATTCGCAAATTATTTGCAACGATCCATGATTGTTCGCCTGTAAAAAATTTGGGAAACCCGATTCAGGCATATAAATCGCATGACAGGGAAAAAAATAAAAAAAATGCATCTACACTTTCGGAAATTCCAACCTTTGCCCACTCGAGAATGTCACTTTGTTCACTGAACATATCTCGACCAGAGAATGATGCCTCTTGTGTTTCCGCTTCGTCAAAATCGCTTCGGCAATGCCTATCCTCACTCGACGAACCTTGAAAACTGCATTAAGAGATAAAGACGCGTTTTTTTTTAATTGACCGTAATTATAAAAAAGGTGTGAAATAATGTATCATAAATGCTAATACCTTCGTAATGGTAAAAGAGCATTTGGTGAAGGACTATCTTCTTTCGAAGAAGGTAGTTCAGGATCGAGTGGGACAACATTGCCATTTATTCCTTTCTTCGAGTAGCTGCTTCGATATAAATTTTGAAGCTCGAACTGGGACATATTATCTGTCAAGCTATCTGATATACAACCAGTCGTACTTGATTGAGTAGCTTCAACTGTTTCGTTTTGCAATTTGACTACTCCATTTTCCGGTGATAAAATATCAGTTTTTTCTTCCGATGTTTCAACCATATCACAGCCTAAAGGCGAATCGAAATCCATATTACTTATCTGCTTCGTTAGCCTCTCCAACCTCTCTTCGGTAAAGAGGCTACAACCGAAAACAAATGGTGAAACAAATACATAATTACGATCGTTTGAGATAAAAACAAATATCCAAATGGTAAGAATTAAATTTAGCGTAGTGTAGATAGTTAGTTATTCACGGACCTATTTAAGACACCAAAATGCAGCTCAAAAAACGGAAGCCTGGAAAGAATGCAATAGCAACGGCGGGTGGTTAAAATATGGCGACTTAGACTCGACCGAATCGGTGGCCCATCTGAGATAGTAGAGATTAACTCCGATGGTTTTTGTATCATTTCTTCGACCAAAACACAGCAACCATAAAGACTTGAAGCATCCGCCACCTGGATGCAGAAAATAAAATTCAAAAATATAACTCCGAGAGAGCGAGAGAAACTTAGTTTTTTTATACATAAAGAAGTAGGTTATAAAAAATGGGACATTTTTTAGCATACCTGCAGCCGGAAGACAAAGGAGAGATCACTTTGTTTGAGATGCTCCTGTAAATATAGCAACAAAATGAGATCGACTACGAGTTTTATAATTCAACACCGCCCCTACTTTACCTTTTAGAGTCAAATTAATGAAGGAACGTGATTTTATACTATTTCGTTTAGAAAACTTAGTTTGCAACTAACGAACCATAACTCAAGTACAAAGCAAGACCTTCAAATACCTGCCCGAGGAGTATCTCGTTCAATTCGCTCATCGATAGGGTTTTTTCAACAGCATTCACCTGTAATCAGGAGTCAATTCTAAGAAAGCTTGTACTAATAATAATAATTATTAAATTAAAAAAACTTAAAAATACCACCGACTATTCATTAGGAGGATTAACCAGACAAATGCACAAGTTGGACAGAGTAAATTTCACGTCAACCCACCTCTACTCCGGCAGGAAAGCAGAACGAGAGAAGATCCTTGTATTTCAGTGGCAGCTGTTTCTCCGGTGGGTAAACAAACAAGACTTGAGGCTCAAGGTTAGGCTCCACACGAGACTGGTGCTGACCGCCGAGCGCATTTCGAAATCGACCCGAACCTTCAAATTTTCTAGCAAAGTACAGATTTTGAAGTGCTTGTACGTCAGAATTCGGAGGAAGACCCAAAACGACCATGCTTTCAAACAGTTTCGATGGCTCCTTCCAGACTCTGTGATCCTGCAAACTTTATTAAGATAAAACGATACACGAAAAAAAAAACTCAAGAAACATAATCCATCGTAATAGGCTAATAGCATCAATCCTAATATTTACGTATGCGTTTCTTGATTTTCGGATCTTTTTACATAATAGATTGTAATGAGTAACAACAAAACGAGAGCAGGACCTACCAGCAACTGCAGTTGAAAATTAGCCCACTGTCGTTTTTGGCTGGTTAGTATTTCCGGGTTGTAAGACCCGATTTTCACTTGTGGAGGACTGGATAAGCCCTTTAATATTTTTGAAACTTGGTGCTGAAGTCTTCGAATCTGTCCACCGCTTTCATCGTTCGACGAATATACCACAGAGGGCCGAGGCGAACGAACAGCGGCAGCTGCTGCAGCGACAGCTCGAGCAACGTCTTCGGTTGTTTGTGTGAAGAACGACGCGCTCCAACTAGGGCTACTTGTTTCTTCCTCTTTATCTTTATCCATCTCTTAAAACTCCTAGCTCCTTCAAAAACAACGCATACGTACTTTAATCTCGCGATTAAAAATAAGGGGGGATCAAAATTTGCAGCATTGTAGATAATTCGGTTCCAATCAAGAACAATTTCGTCCTTTGTAAATTATCCAATCTTATTACACCCCCCCCCCCCCTCGAGTCCCTTTGCACTCCGATG